TTCACTTTATCTATTGATTATATTCAAATAACTTTTTTTGAGAAAATGAAAACTTAAGAATAATAAAATAGTCGACTATCTCTAAACTAAATAACAGTCTAACTCAAATTTCTTCTTGTCTAATACTTCAGCTTAGCGTATTTATATAGAAGATCATTCGAAACCTGATGACATTAAAGTTCGAATACAGTACATTGAAAGTATGTGCAAAATAGTTTAATCATTCATCTTTATTATCATAAACTATAGGATCTAGTACTTCCCATTTTTTTGTAAAATGATGCACTAAGCAAATATGCAAAAGATATATTCAACAAATAGAATATGTAAATAAATCCATTCTCTCCCAAAAAAAGCAAGAGTTTCGAAAAAAATTAGATATCATACATGTGCGCATCGCAACAAAATAATAAAATTTAAAGACTTTGAAGCAACAAATGAGAATATTACTGCATTGGAAAAAAATAATAATTAATAAGTAAATAAGAAAAAAAACAAATACGAAATGGAATATAAATTTAACAACCAATATTTTATAGTTTGATAGACGTTCTTCTAATACGTTGATACGTCGTTCATGTACTTGGATCAATACTTTTATAGAATTTAATTCTTCAATAAATTTATCAACATACTGCAAAAAATATTATCATGTAGTGTCCTGCAATCGGATCGGATTCCCGATATCTAACCCAATCTGGAGCATGAGTTCGCGTGTAAACTCATCGAATTAGTTCGAGTACAGTCATGAACTCATACCCGGACCTAGCAACGAATGAAATCTTGACGTCCCAGAATATTTTTACTTTTTCAAATTACTATTTATATAAAAGTATAGGAGTGAAAATTGATTTGCTCATGATTGAGCAATTTATTATAGTTGAGAACACATCACAGAAGTGCAAAAATGGCATTATTTTACTAAAAGAATTCGTTTTCCATGAAAATTAATCTACAAATGATGATGAGTCACATAATGAAATAGATGAATGCATTGAAAGAAAAAATAAATTATCAAAAAAGTGAATATGATAGAAACAAACAAATTTATACACAACGAAATCAATCGGATCTTAGAAGCAAAATGACATCGAGTGAATTCTGAATCACCTGCCTTTTTATAAAATTTCAAATGATTTCTTTTTGTTGTTGTTATTTAAGAAAGAAACTAAATAGTATACTGTTTTATATAAAACAAAAGTTGATTAACTTCGGTCCGGGTCCGGTTGCGAAAATTCGTACCCGTGTACGACACTAGTTATCATATGAAAGGAATTTGTTCAAATAGAAAAAAAAACAAAGCTATTCTTTCTTATATATGTTCATAAAAAGAAATGAAATATTATATACCTGTACTTTATGATTAATGCCATTATTACTAACATTAATATCTTTTTTTACTGATTTTGGACTTGGATTTGGTTTTTCAATGACAACATCTGGCTTTGGTTCAATAGAAATGTCAAATATTGGTGATTTTGGACCCATATAAAGATCACGAATGGGTATCTTAAAATATGATTTAATTAAATAATAAAATAATTTTTTCTTTTAACTTTTACCAATTTTGGATCAGCATCTACTCCATTAATCCATTCATCAGCAGTTATAGCATGTTCTTCAGCAGCTGTATCCAGATAAAGATCATCTTGAAAAAGTTCAGACTAAACGAAATGAAATTATTCTATACAAAAAAAAAACAACAAAGAATCATCATTGATAATTTACTTTTCGAGGTACAGTAAAACTAATTACTTCACAAAGACCACTATTAAGTAATTTATAAAAACTAAATAAAAAAAAATATAAGAAAACCAAAAAAGAAAAGTTCTAAACTAATCAATATTTTCATATATACCGAGCTATTTCACATGCAGCAATATTCAATCCACGTTTTGGCATAAAACCTATACCACGTTGTGGATCTGATGATAAATATGTGCTAAGATAATGAATGTAAGGTGCTTCTGGTGTATATTCAAAATATCGAATCGCTGAATCACCCTAAAAAAATAAAAGATTCAAACAAGTTAAATGTTTTTTTTGCCTTTCACACTAATTCATCATAACAAAAGTTTTAACAATCCATGGAGACATTCATTTTATTTTTCTTATTTATAAAACTATCTTCAAAAATATCAATGATTACCTTTCCACATAGAAAAATAATACCAGTATCTTCATCATAAATTGGAAATAAAATTCCATTTGATGAATCAAGTTCTACCATTGTTAAAGGAGCACTCAAATTATTCTACAAAAAACAAAAGAAAATTCTCCTTTCTTTATAAAACGAATACCATTTTTAACATACTAAACACAAACCTCATCCCAAACAGCATATTGTCGTTCAGCCATTCTTGAAAAACCTGTAGAAAATATTCGTCCATCACGTAAATAAATAGCTTTTGCAGGTTTTCCACCTTGATGTCCTGCACCTGACTACAACAAAAAAAATTCAAATTAGAATTAAACTTCATTTCATCTTCTTCTCATTTACTTGAATAACTTCACCCGTACGTGGATTAATAACACGAAACATTTTATCTTTACATGATGTAACAATACGTGAACCATTATAATTCCATGCAACACTTAAAATAACTTCTGAATGACAATCAATTGTTGATAATATTGTTGATTTACTAATATTCCAAATAAAAATTTTCATATCACTTCCTAAAAAAAAAAAACAAAAGGCAACAAAAATTTTATTAGAAAAATTAAAAAGAAACAAAATTCTATTTTTTACCGGAAGTAAGTAAAACATTAAGTGCACTTGGATGCCAAACTACTTGTCCAACACGTCGTTGATGTGCAACAAGATCAACCGTTGGTTGTGTTAATGTTGTTGTTATACCACCATCAGGTATTTGCCAAATTTTAACCGTACAATCTTCTGAACTACTTGCAATAAGATTATCATTATGTGGGCACCATGCTATATCTAGTACAGCTGATTTATGACCACTAACAAGTGGTACATTACGACCAACACGTCCAACTTTATCAAGTGGTAAAACAAGAAATGCACCACCACCAGCTGATTCAGTTATAATAGCAAGAAATTTTGGATTAACAGAGCAAAATGTTGAATCCCATGCACTTTTTGTTATACGAATATCATCATAACAATCAGCTTTTTTAATTGCTTGTCCAAAGACATGACTGAAATAAGTCAAAAAAAAAAGAAAAGAATCTTATTTATTTTTAAAATAGAAATTTACTAACCGAAATTTGCTATTACGAACAACTCGAGCCATGAAGAATGATAATAGACAATAATGATAATGTTATATGTTATAAGAGGACAACGACTACAACCTGAAATAAATATAAAATTATCACCTCGAATATGGTTGCATATATTTCTGTTCTCCTATGCCCTCTGCGGTATCACTGTGCACAGGCAACTTTTGATGAAGATAAACGAACTTTTTTTTTTCTTTTACCATATAAGGATATATATACTCAGCAAACTATGATTATAATATTTTTCAAAAACAAAATCAAAATGACAATGCATATATAACAGAAAGAACCGAAAAATAGTCATCGCATACTAATGAATCAGTATGAATAACAGGCAATACTTATGCCGTTCTTTGGTAAAAAGTATGTTTACTAACACATTCTTCACATATGAGGAAGAAAATTTCTGGCAATTTTTTTCATGTTTCATCTATCATTTAAAAGTACGTAAAACATTTGTGACCGAAAACAAAATATCAAGTAATACTTTGATCAGAATTCCTATCGAACAAAAAAAATAAAAATAGAGGACGCAATGAAAAAAATAAAAGTATGAATATTCGACCTTGTTCGTCCTATCTCTATCTTCTCTTATTCATTCTCACCTTGGCAGTTGCATTACTCTCTGATAAGCAAGAGCATTATTTACATTTTTCTTGTGTGACAGGTTGATTATGTAGAAGATTTTTTTCTTGGCTCATCTTCTTATGTATAAAAATAAGAATACATCATAAATTTAAAATAATTGATCTAAAATTAAAAATATTTATTTCATTAATTTTTAACAAGCTCAATGCCCATAAACGTGGAATAACGTTGTGCTTTTTCATTGGTTATTAAATGTTTTTTTTGATTAAATACTCCCATCTATCATTTGTTTTTATTTATTTTAAATAGAGAAAAATTTCATTTGCAGCAAAATAAAAATAAATAAATTCTACTGTTTTATATGGAAGGGTTTTTCTTTTTTTCTAGGAAAATTTGAATGGTTATTTTTGATTAACCAATACAAATAAAATGACAGTAGTTAGTTTATTTTTATTTGTAGATATTTTTTAAAAAAAACAAAATGCGTTCATCAACAATTTTAATTTTAATTTTTTTGTGTTATGTCTGTTTAATAGCTAAAGCTATAAAAGATGAAGATTTTTCTGAATTTGATGATTTTGATCATGATGAATTTGTTGTTGGTATGTTTATTAATTTATTTCAAATGTCTTTTTTTATTATTAGTATTTTTCTATTAGAAACTCCATCGTCAACCGGTGCTACTCCGTTATCATCGAAAACACAATCAAATAAACCAGAATCAATAAACGATGAAGATGTATCTGAACCAAAATTAAGCGAAACAAAAGATGAAGAAGTCACGATTGATGATGATGACGATGATGCAATGTTTGACGAAGAAGAATTTGAAATGGTAATTATTTCAAATTCAATTATTCATAGTTGCCAAAAGTTCTAAAATGATATGAAAATTCATTAGGCTTTTATAGAGTAATACTCAACTTTTTCAAGCTTTGATAGGTTAATGTACCAATGTATACAAAGTTTAAGATCGATAGATTAGACGATGACAAAGCTCTAACATTATTTAGGTCAGCAATAGAACCGGTTGGTCTATCTTATTTACTCTCCTGCTTTTATTGGATGACCGAAATTTCACCTATACGACATTTGCGATCTGTCACGAAACAATATTAATACATAGGATACATATGAGGACTTGAGCTAATATTGTTGAGATATATTATTTCTCTTTGAGCGTCTTACTGCCACAGTAAATTTCAGCTTTGTATCGCGTCATGTTTAAAAAGACGAAATTTGATAAATATCGAAGAAAAGGAAAAAAAAAAGGTAACGAATGGTTCGTTTTATAGAGCGTGAGACGTTATGTTAAAATACGTATTTTCTTCGTTTGTATCTTTTTCTTTCTATGGTCTTGCGTCCGCGACATTATATGACAAACATGTCGTCATTTTTGTGTTGAAGGACATTGTACTTCAATTTTCTTTCAAAGTAGACAAGGTGAAGGAACATAGCAGGCGTCAAAATGACAAAGAACTTTATTAGAGAATAATTGATATTCACTCACTTTGTAGAAGGACATTTTGAAAATGATTGTGTAAATAGCTCGTTTATTTTTACTGAAATGACATTTCATAAAGTTGTACAATCAATTGAAAATTCAACTTGCTATTATGGAAAATTTTACAATATATGATAAAGTATTGGAAAACTTTTACTATGTAACATAAGCATAGAGTGTAATAAAATGCATTGCTTAGAAATTGTTTAGGTCGACTTTATATCATAGTTTACATTGAAATTTTATTGGAAATTGATCTGATTAGATAATAGTATTTATCTGAAAATGTTTTTTGTCATCGAAACAATAGTTCTATTGTTAAAAAGCTTATGCTTGCAATGGATATTGTAGAGATGGAACTAATACCGATTCTATCTCTGAACGATTAAAAAATGATATTAAAATGGAATGTAAAAAGTTTAGTATTTCTTTCTGTTGACGAATCGTAATGAAATCCATAAATATTGATAATCAAAAATGTATTTCTTTTCACTTTAAAATATCAACCGAGAGAATGCTAATAAAAGACATAATTCTATTCTTAAGATTTTTATCATTATGAATATCTATCGATTTCAAACTTTCTAATAATTTAGTTTCGTTAACAATAGCGTATTATGTTTAGCAGTGTTTTATATAGCCTGGAGGCTGTCGAGAACGAAGTCCTTTCGGAGTTTTCAATCGCCTTTCCTGAAGAAAAAATCTGGATAAAATACGGACAGCTAATAGGATTCCCACCGAATAATTTTTTTATTTAAAAAAGTTTGTCTTTGTTTTAATATATAACGAAATGACACCGCTGATTTGAACTTCGAGAAACTTTTCAAACATTTTATATGATGACATATTGAGGCATTTTTGTGTACTCAAAAAGTGAGTACACTCTAGAATCGGTCAGTGTGTCCGTCCGGCCGGCCGGCCGTTAACACGATAACTTTTGAAAGGAGAGTCCAATCGCGATGA